GTCGCTTGTTCACATAGGGTAAATTGCAGAGCAGTACGACAGTATGAACATTTATCAATCAACTACAAAAATCAATAACATTGAAGAGCGGCGCATCGCTATCACTTACTCTATTTATCCCGGGCAAAGTAAGCAGCCACCCGATGACAGGCACACGATAGAGGAAGTTGAAAACAACCGGTAAAAATCCGCTGGAATTAAAAAAAAATCTCGTCAAAGTCGTTTGGGAATTCATCAACAAAGCAGGTGATGCGCTCATACGGGTAGCATGAGCGCAGATCTTAAAACAAGCGAGCGGACGCGGTAGTGCGTCGAAGGTCGAAGTAAGCGATATGCACTGATCGAATCGGATCATGCAAACTTCTTCTGTGGTATAATGGTGATTTACCTGAAGAGTAGGAAGGAGCCGTAAAGCTCTATAAGCATTCCGATGAGCGGAAATCCAAATATTACAACAAGCATTCCTCCGAAGAAGAAGGATGTGCCTTTGATCTTGTGCCACTGGAAGAAAAAGCGTGTGACGCGCTCCGCGCCTATAAAAAGACCTAGGCCGAGAATAAAGATGAGCTATTTCAATGCCAAAAAGCAGTGTCTTACATTTCCTAGGGCGAGAAGACCTCCGTCAAATAAGAGCAGCATCCCAAGGAAGATGAATGCAATGCCGACGGACATGAGGGCGAGACCAATCTCTGGTTAAGGTTAAAGTTGAGCGGAAGGGACTCACTTTGAATATCTGTTAAAGTTAACATGATACGGATTCAAGCCGGCAGATGTCCAGGAGCTGTGTTCGTGAATGACAGATATGCTGTCCAAAAAAACAGTTCCAGCCGCCTGATGAATGCAAAGCATGATGTATTACCTTCGACATGCTGATACACATAGAGATTCATAAGTAAAAAAGAGTATTTGCTTGTCCGCATAAAACTGTTTGATATTGGGTCAAGTTGTCAAACTCGCTAGTTAGGTCGAGGCATCCAGAAGGCGAAAACATGCACGAAGAAATGGCGATCCTTCCAATGGCATGGAGATTAGCAGACCACATGGAACGCAGTACACATTCCCACTTGGGCGTGATCGTTGTAGCCCAACGTAGCATCGCGCCAACGTAGCAACGTGCCAAGCTCGCTTGACGGACTCTTGGAGTTCACACAAGAGTGAAATTGGGCCACATTGGAGGAGTCACTTGATCCCGACACTCAGTCCCGAGTAGGATCGAGTTGCCTCGTCATTTGACAACCTTGCAGGCCATCACTGCTAGTGTATCGTGTTTTTTTTTGATGGACAGGAACCTAGGCGTTGGATCCAACCTGAATTGACCTTATTCCATCTGTCATACGTCCAGGAGTTTGCCCGAGTCCGGGCGACCGCGAAAGACACTGAACGCAGTGGCTGTCTCGTAAATACTACACGCAGGCACCGATACGTACAAGACTAGGGGGCGATGTAACTACCCGCAGTGACCCGGAAAGCACGCTGGAAGTTAGGCTTTATCGGTTGACTCGTCTTTTTTTGGCCTATCCTGACTCACAAGAAAGATCAAGGCGTTTTTGGAGTATTACACACGTAAGTGCAGTGACTGTCCCTCCTAAAGACTTTTCATGGGTTGCTGACGGCGCGAAATCCATCTGTGTGAGGCGCGAGCACTCATGCGGCTAATGCAGCTCGTGGGTATGTCAAGGGCTACAGGATGTTTATGATGCAAGAGGTGGCAAGTGTCTACATCGTCAGTCCTATGATATATGTTGACGCTCTTCAAGAGATCTGTATTCAACAGACTCTGCGCTAGGGAAGATTGTCTCCGACGGCGCCTGACATTAAGAAGGCTCCGAAACGCCACAAGTTTAACTGATTGACATTAAAAATTTTCCGGAAAGATCCCGGTTATAAGGTACGCGAACTACTGTAAGCGGTAATTGAGATACGGCCGGATAAAAGTTGCGCATAGGATGATTATTTTCTCTTCCGTGGAATTTGGAAAACGATCTCACATTAGAAAGTTATTTGAGCGCCCTTGCAATCGCGCGCAAGCACGGCTTCTTCGGTGTGAAATTAAAGGGTTACAATCCCCAAATTCACAGCGGTCGGCACATTTTCCAGGGCAGTGTGTAGGCGAATTCTAAAAAGATATCTTGTTTACCTAAAATAAATCGGACCCTTATGTAGTTATTGAAGGGGTCTGTCGATAGATCAATTTATTGACACGAACCAAGTCATTTTGAAAATGTGCATATGACTGTGTCTAGTTAAGACATCTACATGGCCAGTAAACGGGAAAAGCATGCGCAAAGCTCCCAGGAGCGAGTTAGTTACATACTAGGAATCGTAATGGGGTTAAGATGAACGTAAAAATAAACTGACGATCTGAATGATGAAGCGGGTCTAAAACGGGAGAGACTTCCAAATGAATTTTGAAAAAAAGTATCTATGGAATGAGGAAGCGGCCAAAGGGGTCGAGCGGAGTCATTCGTAGTTATCATATATGATCTCAGCCTTCTCGATTGGCTGGGGCGTCTTCCTTATAAACAAAGAAGCCATTAGTAGAAGTTGTGGAGTCTCAAATAACCTAAGCAATCCACGTTCCCACGAGTTAAGATGAGCTATCAGAGCCCTCTGGAACTTAATTATTCGCTCCTATGACCGCATATGTTAGCATAAATACATGTGGACGCCAACACCTAGTGTTGGGGTGGGGCTCCGAGTATTGAGCTGGGTAAACGAAGTACCAAGCGGGGAGAGAACGGTAATGAGGCTAGCTGGCGAACGTTGGGTCCTAGGGTGGCTCACGGCACCCGGGCGTCTTTTGCCAGCTGTGGAAGTGAAGTCCCCGTGGCCGACCTCAAACCCCTAGCTTCTGGGTTAGTCCGAGAATAACCTAAGGAAACAGTGCTGCTTGTTAATGGCTGTGGCTGAATTCAATATCTTCGCTCCTATCCCATGGGTTTAATGCTGCCGACCTTTATCTGTCAACATTGACAAACCGGAGGTGACGAAAAGTTTAAATAAAAATCTGGCTTTACGCAATCTGTCGCGACATGGAAGTAGTTCATGGACCTTCGGTGTCTGGTGTTCGTCACTGAAGAGAATGGACTTTCTAGACTTGTCGCCGCAAATCACCAGCAGTGGAGAGGCACGAATCGCGACATCCTCGGAACCAGAAAGACTAAGCAGGATCATAGACGTAAACAGTACGCGCATAATACGGTTTTTACGTCTAGTTCTGCCAGCAGGGAAACGAAATTCGGACTTTGTGCAATGCCTCATACTGTTCTGTGCGGCGGACCTGTCTAGTGAATTTAGGCTAGACTAACTAACTCTATCTTGACGTATAAGTAAATTTAGGTGTAGTTTTTAAGAATCCCTTTGCTCAACGAGATCTGTCTCGATCCTGATGGTCTGACAGACGTGTTTCCTTTACTAGGCGCA